TGAGCCACTGCAGCCCGCCTGTTTCCACTATTTTTAACATTTAATTTTTTTATCTTATTGTTATTTGGGGCCTAGTGTGATCTTACTATGTTCTTTGTAGATGGCTTCCCAATGTCCCCAAACCTCTCTACTGAGTAATCCATCCTTTCTTTTCCAATTTGAGATGCCACTTTTATCATAGTAAATTTTCTTTATGTATTTGGATCTATTTCTGAACTTTTTACTTATTTTTATTTATCTCTCTGGCCTTATGCCAGTATCATATTGCTGGCAAGACTGCAGTTTTATAGCATGTTTTAATCATGAACTCTATTTTGAGAGGCTCTGGTTCCCCTGCATCCTGGGAGGGGAGGACAGAGGTGCTCAGGACTGGGTGGGAGGGGCCGCTTGCGGCAGGCCAGGCACTGTGGGTGGATGGGGTACTCATGGGGGGCTTTCCTCCTCCTCCCCTGTCCACCCAAAGCTCCTGTTTCCCAGAAATCCCTCCCAGGTGAGCCTGCAGGACAAGTCCAGGTGCCCAGGAGGTGAGGGAGAAGGTTGAAGGGTTCTTGAGGGATTTACAGTAAGCGGGAGGCCCTTTCCTTGAGGCACCCCCTTTCCTGCCCCACCCGCTACCCAGAATCAGCTCAGAGGCCTCTGGGAGGTGCTTTAGTCACACCTCCCACCTCCCCAGGCTGTCCCCGAGCACACTGCACTGCTCCCGTGTCCTCGCCTGAGTCCCCTGCCACAGTGGCAGCAGCCCCCAGCCCAGGACCTGCACAGAGGAGGGGTCTGGCACTGACCCATCGTGAGCCTCACAGAGGAGCCCTGGGTACCGCGCGGCCACACAGCAAGTCCCTGGCTGAGCTTGGGCTGGTGTTTCTGCCCCCAGCCCAGGTCCCATCAGCCTCCACCTGCCATCCTGCCATGTCCGCTTCGACTCTCCCGGTCAATTCAGGCTTTTCTCCAAACACTGGCCCCGGCTCCACAGTTCTTCCCGGTGTCCAGCCACTGTCTCTCCAGCTGCATCTTCAGGAAGGCGCATTCACTGAGCACCCCCTGTGTGCCAGGGCTGAGTTCATCACAGCGGCAATAACCGTCGGTTATTGGGCACTGACTGTATGTGTCGTGCACTTTCCACGGGGAATTTCATTTACTCCTCACAATAATCCTGTTCATTTGGTGCCATGCCTACTTTTTAAAATGACACCACCAAGACTTAGTAAGCATTTCCTTTGGTGCCAGCCACTGCCCTAAGCACTTCACCTGCATCTCCTCATTTATCCTCCCCAAACCCCTTCCACATAGGCTCTCACCGTCCCCATTTCACAGCTCTGGACAGATCCCTGGAGAGCTTGGCCTCCCCATTAGGCAGCAGAGCCAGGATGTGAGCATGGAGTGTGACCCAAGTATGGCCATCGACCCTGGGCCCGCTGTCTGCCATTCAGAACGCAGCACTCAGAGGTCAGGCACCTCCAAGAGGCCAACCGTTGCACCTCTGAAAGTTGGTTCCAGCTCCTCTCCGGTCCCGGCACCCGGGCACGACTCCTCAAATGAATGAAAGTGGCTTCTGTATCCCCCATCCCTTCCTCTGCTGTCACAAAGCACCGTCCCACCAGGACAGAAAGCCCAAGGCCACTTTCTCAGAGGAGGATGGCGTCTGTGTCTGGGCTCGTAGGTAGGCTTCTGTGCCTCAGGGAAAGGGCCTCCCACTTACTGCAAAGCCTCTAACTCCCAGCCACATTTAAGGAATGGCAGTTGCATTGTTGGGAGTCAGTGCCACTATTGTGGCTTGAGGCCGCGACATGGGGGAAAACCCACGGACACTGAACACGCAGTAATGCTACTGAGCACAGAGTACCACCACAGCAACTGTAAGACTAGAGACAATAACACTTTTAATTGTATTAGGATTATGGGAACCGGCTTTATTGCAAGTTCTTCCCACTAGCAGTTAAGTGTTGTAATAAGACGCTCTCAGAAACGGCCCTCCAGAGAGGCTTGCTGTGTCCAGGGCCTCCTCCCATGAGCTCCAGGGGGCAGACACGTGTCTGGGGGCAGCAGGGAGGGGACCTGGGTACTCAGGGGGGTTCTTAGGGGTTGTCAGGAACTCCCTGAGCCCCCAGAGGCTCCTCAGCCGCCCTGACGGCAGCGGGACGTCCGAGAGAGCGCAGAGCCTCTGGGACAGGCAGAAGGGGTTGTCCCTGGATCTGTCCCTTCAAAGCCATGCGACCAAGCAGGCTTCTGCTCTCTGAGCCCGTTTCCCTGCGTGTGAAATGGAGATGTGACACCCCAGCTGGGACATTAGCAGAATAAACCAGCCCACCTTGTCCCAGAGCCAGCCTGCTGGAGCCCCTAACGGCCCTCACCTATCTCAGCCTCGTTGCTGTTTCCTGGGAACATTCATTTCCAGGCTGATGGGCTGGCATGACAAGCCTCCAAAGGAAAATGTAATGCCAGGCAAGAATTAACCTTCCCTGCCCGGTGAAGGGAACGAGGACGGATAGGCCACCGCCTGCCTTCAGGGTCTAGAACCTCCACTTAGTCCTTGTTCAGTTGTCAGAGGGTCTCACAGTGCTGCCCCCTCTGGGGCAGACGTTGCAGGGGGAGGAAGAGGGGTGAGGACCCTGCCAGTGGAGAGAACTTGGGTAGGGTGGCCGGGCAGTGTCCTGGGAAGACGGGCCCTCAGGAGGGAAGTAGGGGATGAGTGAAGGGAAGTCTGAGGGATAGTGCGTGGTGGCCTTGACTGGCCTGCACAGTGGGGGCTGCAGGAGGCCTGGGAGGAGAGGTGTGGCCTGGGCCTTGGGGAGGCAGGCCTGGTGGTGTGGGCAGGTTGGGTGGGGAGGGTGGGTAGTGTAAGGTCCAGGGCTCAAGGTAGGGGCTGAGGAGCCAGAAATCTTAGCTTAGTTTGACTTAGTTTGAGGGATTCAGATCTCACCTGTCCCCAGAGATCTCTGTTTCTTGAAGGTACCACCTAGGCCTCCATCAGAGCTGTGCCCCTTGCTTTCTGCAGCAGCTGCTAGAGGGCAGGCCCTCCCTGACACACTGGAAGCCAGGTGCACCGGGGCTGTGGCCCAGGGCAAGGTTAGGGGCCAGGGCGGGCGGGGCAGAGCTCTGCCTCACCACTTGCTCCCACCTGAAGTGCCACTGTGAGCCCAGCCCAGTGTGCAAGGCGGGGCTGTGCTTCAGGCTCCTGCAGGGGACCCAGCGCCTCAGCCTGCTGCCTCTGCCACCTGGCAAGTTGGTCTCCTCATCTGTCATGCCCAAGTTGCTAGGAGACTGGGCGGGGCCTTGGAGATGACCTACCAGGGGAGGCCCCCCACCTGCTGGGTGTCTTCCCTCCTTATGTTACTGAAAACTCAGCACTTGTCCATGAGGCCAAATCAGAAGAACGAGGCCAAGTGGTTTGGGGAGGAGGAAAGAGAAGTTTTATTACTTTGCTGGCAAAGGAGAAAAAATGGTAGACCTTCTCATCTCAAAATCCAAATTTCCTGGGCATTTGCAGAAATACAGAGCTTTTAGAGGATGGGTTCTCAGCTTCAGGCAATTACTGTTCAACTACAGTTGGTGATTCTGATCATCCCATCTCCCCTGAAGACAATCTCCTGACCTCCTTTTACCAGGTCTGGGTTGGGCCATCTCATGTTGCACAAATAAACAAAAGACTTACCCTGTCCCTCCCAACCACTGGCCTGAGGCAGAGATGCAGCTTTGGTTCTCAAAAGGAGTGGAGGATGTTTTAAAGAGACAGAAAGTATTATTGTCATTATTTTTTTCAGGCCATTCCCTCTGTTACACACTCCCCACTGTCAATATTTGCCTTCCATATCTGTGGGAGGAGGGGTGATACTCTGTTACACCTATAGCCCCTCCTTCTCTCCATCCTCTGCTCTATTTCTTGCTGTTCCTCCTCCACGGGTCTGCCGGCCTCCTCCTGCCTCAGTCTGTCCCTGGCATCTTGTCTGCTTGTCCCTGGCTTCCTTTCAGCCCATGCCTGTCTCTTTCCTTTCTGCGCCCTGCACTGCCGGGTCTGCCTCTCTTACTCCCTCCATCCCTCCCGTGTCTGTCTCTCAGTCTCCCCTCTGTCCTCTCACACACACTGGGGACCCTCACACCTGCTCTGACCCTCTGTCTGGTGACTCTTCCCCTTCCAGATAGGGTTGGTGGTCATCCTGGCCTCCACGGTGGTGGCCATGTCGGCGGTGGCCCAGCTGTGGGAGGATGAGTGGGAGGTGCTGCTGATCTCCCTGCAGGTGAGTGTGTGTGGGGGGATACTGCTCCCCCGGGACCCTTGCAAAAAGGTGGCACCTTTTTATCACTCCCCTTTCTCCAGACCAAGGCCCAGAGAGGGGCAGGGAGGGGCCCAGGGTCACATCGCAGGTCAGAGGCAGGGAAGATGCTGCAAGCCTGGGTCCTGAGACTCCCAGCATCCTCAGCGGGCCAGTGGAGACAGGGTTGGCTGCCCCGTATAGGCCCTGTAAGCCACCAGGACGCTGGTGACCAGAGGGTCTGGACACGGGTGGGAGTCACCAGTCCCTCTTCCCACACGCAGGGCACAGCACCGTTCCTGCACGTGGGGGCCCTGGCCGCAGTCACTGTGCTCTCCTGGATCGTGGCAGGACAGTTCGCCCGCGCAGAGCGGTCCTGTGAGTATGGCCGGCCCCTCCCAGCCCCCCGCAAGTACCGAGCCGGCTCGTGCTGCCCTCACCTGCACTTTACCTGGGTGACCTGGGGATGTGGTGGCCTTCACTCAGCCAAGAGGACTCTGGCTCAGAGGGGCCCACGGATTCCACAGAGGGGTGCAGCCTCCGTTGGCCTTGCACCGCGTTCCCCCTCCACGTCTGTGTGAGTGCACGTGTGCGTATGAGTTAGAGGTGGGGCTCACCTTCCCAGCAAGAACGAGGCTGCCCCTCTGAGCAGCTGGGTCCTGACAGGTGGGGGCAGAGGGCTCCAGCATCCCGCCTGCAAGCTGCCCAGGGCTGGCTGGGCCTGGCAGGAGGTGAGCAGCTCACCAGGCGGCGCTCATGGCCTGTGTCTGCAGCCTCCCAGGTGACCATTCTCTGTACCTTCTTCGCCGTGGTGTTTGCCCTCTACCTGGCCCCTCTCACCATCTCCTCTCCCTGCATCATGGAGAAAAAGGACCTAGGCCCCAAGCCTGCCCTCATTGGCCACCGCGGGGCCCCCATGGTGAGTGCCACCTGCAGGTCCTAACAGACGGCGGGGCATGCGGTGCAGCTGCCCTTCTAGGGGAGGATCTTGTTGGGAAATGGATATAATGTGTGTAATATAATAATAGCCACCGTTTTTAGCTCTTTTGTGGGAGCTACATGGGAGGGATTGGTGAAGAGGCCGGAGAGCTCGCGTGGGACCAAGTCCTGAACAGTCCTGAAGGCATCTTGCTAAGAAGATGGAACGTGTGTCCTGTGTGCCCTGTGGAGATGTGGGAGGGTTTTAGGCCTGGGCTAGACCTGGCTGTGGGTTAGGAAGGCCTAGGGTACAGATGCTGGGTATGGGGCCCCGGGGCTGTGACCAGGCAGCGGGAGAGCCAGCCAGGCTGTGGGGGCAGGAGAGCAGGATACGTGCGGAGCCCACTGTTGAAGTGAAGACAATTGAACAGGATTGAGTTGGAGCGGGAGGAAGGAGTTGAAGTCGGCACACTGTTCTGCCACTGAGGTGCTCTGTGACCCTGCAGGAGAGCTTCGGTTGAGAGGGCAGGCTCCAGGGCCATGCTACCTGGGCTAGAATCCTGGCTCAGCCCTGCGCCAGCTGTGGGAGCCCAGCCAGTTTCCATCTCTGCCTGGTTTCCTTATCTTGTACCACGGGAGTAGCAATGGTGCTTACCACGGGGGTGTGAGAAGCAGGATTTAACACGTGTGAAGTGCCCAGATATGCACCCAGCACACAGAAAGTAAGAGTTAGACATTATTGTGGTCTTGGGCTGGCCCGGCCCCCCTCACCCACCAAAGCCTTGAACCTATGCTTCTCAGCAGAGGCAGTACCACCCGTGGCCCCGAGGGACGTTCGGGAACCTCCTGCGAGCTTGGTCTCTGCTGGGAGTTCCATTGTGTCACTGGATTTCAGGGTGGCAAAGGGGACCTCACCAAGGAACTGGTATCAGAGGAGGTGTCAAATCTGACACGGCCGTGAATCCTCCTCCACTGCACGTGGTGGGTGTTACTTTCTAGAGAAGACCCCAGCCCCTGAGCTGGACCCCGGTGCCTCCTGCCAAACCCCAGGCTGGCCCCAGCCCCCGCCCCTCCCAGAGGCAGCCAGCTGGGATCTGGATTTGGGGTCCAGTTTGCCACATGCCTGTGTGTCTCAGTGTTCGTGATGCCCACGCCACTGGCCGTTGCAAGGTTGAGTTGGAAGCATTAGAAGCACAGCCGTCCCAGGCGGGAGCCCAAGCTTGGTGGGGGGCGGGTGGGCTCTCTTCTTAGGGGTCAAGATTTAGCTCTTCTCTCTCTCTGACTCAGAGGCCGGGGGACAGAGCAGTGTGCTGATGCAGGAGGAGGAGGAGGGGGAAGAGTGAGGTGGTCCCAGCAAGGAGGTTTTCTTTAACAGAAAAATGTCAAACATGCATAGAAGTGCAAAGAACAGTCTACTGACTCATAATGAAGAACAGCGCGATGAATGAGTCCAGTCCCACCTTCAACATTTACCAACATTGTGCCACTCTTGCTTCATCTGTCCCCTCCTTGCTTTTTCTGCTGTAGTAAAGCAAATCCTACGCACCATGTCTTACACACGCGTCCTTCGGGACACATTGCTAACACATAAGGACTTTTTAAAAAATATAATAGCAATGCTGTTATTATACCCAACCTAATTAGCAATAATTCCTTAATATTATGTCAAATCCATGTTCAGTTTTCTTTCGTTGTCTCAAAAATATCTTTGTATCGTTCAGTTGTTAAAAGTCAGGGTCCAAGCGAGGTCCACATAGCGCGTCCAGTTGACATGTCTCCTACGTATCTTTTAGTCCATAATACTCCCCTCCCTGTGATTCTTTGTTTACTTGTTAAAGAAACTGAGTCATTTGTCCTGTAGAGTTTTTCACATTGTGCATCTGGCTGATCTCATCCTGGTGGCACTTTTTGAGGTGCTGGCAAGGGCCTCCCCCGTGCCTCTCTGTGATTACATGTGTGTGTCAGTGTCCTCAGATGATTACCTGTGGGTGGGGGGCTTCTGACTCCACATGTCTGTGTGTGTGGCAAGAGCAAGTGCATGTCCATGTCTCAGAGACTGTGTGCCCTGGATGTTTCGTTCCTGTTCAGGCATGCCATGTGTATGTGAATGTGCATGTATGTGTTCGTGTGTGTGTGTGTGTGTGTGTGTGTGTTTTAATATTTGGCCAGACTAACTCCAAAGCTGGGACTCTCAGCACAGTGTCCTGCCTACCTAAGTAACAACCACCAGCCCCCAGGCACCCACTCCTGACAACGCCCCCCACCCAGACTTGCCTTCTGCAGGTGGGAGCTCTGCCATCAGGATTAAGAATTCACACATGCTTCTGGGGCCTTCCTGGAGGCCTGAGTCTGGCCAAGGAGGGCCAGGTGTCCATGCCTCTTTTTCCTAGAGGCCAGCACCTAACCCAGGGAGACCTTAACTGTGCATAAAAACTTCCAGGAAAGACATTCCCCCTCCCAAGGGGCCTCCATAGCCTCTCCTGAGCTTCTGTGTTCTGCAGCCCCAGCCCGTGTGGGAGGGAGCACTGGCATCTCTTGCGTGGTCACTGGCAGGAGGCCTGGCCACAGGACATTTAGAGGAGGGATGGGTGGGAGTCCATGCCCCTCTCTCTGTGCCTCTGCGGTCCCTCCTCCTCTGGGGGGCCTCACACAGCCCACTGGACTGGGAGACAAGTAGCTCGTCCCCAGGGCTGCTCTGTGCCAGGGAAAAGGGAAGAAGGGAGCTTATTACAGAGACCCTACTGTGTGCCAGGCTCTGGGCTAGGGTGTCTGACGTCTGTCATCTCACTGGTGAGGTTGATAACATTAGCTCATTTTATAGCTAAAGAAACTGAGGCCCCAGGTCGGTGACTGGGAAGTGGAATTGCTCCTTCTCGGGCAGCTCCAAAGTCCTTGTCATTCTCTGGCTGCCTCTCAGAGGAGGGGAGTGTGTCACAGTTAGAAAACACCATGGCCTGGCCGGGCGCGGTGGCTCACGCCTGTAATCCAAGCTCTCTGGGAGGCCGAGGCGAGTGGATCGTTTGAGCTCAGGAGTTCGAGACCAGCCTGAGCAAGAGCGAGACCCCGTCTCTACTAAAAATAGAAAGAAATTAGCCAAACAACTAAAAATATATAGCAAAAATTAGCCAGGCATGGTGGCGCATGCCTGTAGTCCCAGCTACTTTGGAGGCTGAGGCAGGAGGATTTCTTGAGCCCAGGAGTTTGAGGTTGCTGTGAGCTAGGCTGATGCCACTGCACTCTAGCCCGGGCAACAGAGTGAGACTCTTGTCTCAAAAAAAAAAAAAGGAAAAGGAAACACCATGGCCAGAGGGAGAGAAGGTGGGAGGGAATGATGAGCATGTCCTGGGGTAGGGAGGGATTAGCTCAGCCAGGGAATCCTCCCACCCATGACAGGGGTCCTCCCTTCCTCCCTCTGTCCTCCACCCCGCAAGGACCTGGTCTTAGCCCAATCCTCGGTTTGGTGCTGACCCCCGGTGGCCATAAAGGGTAGGACAGGGTCCTCAGACCACATGGAAATGGGGAGGGAGACTTAGAGCCCCAACTCTTCCAACCATAAAGACCCCCGGAGAACAGTACGTATACACCCGCAAGGGGTGGATGGGAAAACGAGGTCCACAGGAGGAAGAAATATACCTACAGTCACATGGTAGGTAATGGCAGAGTCACGGCTGAAACCAGGACCATCTGATTTGTATGCTATAGAATTAACCATTGCTAGTCATTAAGCACTTACTGTATGTATCAGGCAGTGTGCTAGGGGCTTTTAATCCTTGTAACAACCCAGGGAGGGAGATGGTATTGTCATGTTTGTCCATATGAGGAAACCGGTCACCCCACTGAGACTCTACCATCCCATCTGCCCTCTCCTCTCCCTGCACGGTCTCACCTGGACTCAGCTCAGGGTATAACCTAGAGGGAATCTCACATTCGGCCCCAGCTGTACAAATGCCCTCCCATCCCAGTGTCTAGCTAGCTCAGTGCCTGGGACACAGCAACGATAATGTAATGATCATAGCCACTATTTGTGAAGCGCTGGCTATATGTTGGGCATTTGTATATATCAACACTAACCACCCTGCCTTCCTCTCCCCACAAAAAAGCCTGTGAGGTAGGCATGATTTAACAGATGAGGAAACTGAACTTGAGAGAAGCTGAGTGGGTGCCCAGGGCCATGCGGCTACTCTGCAGAGGAGCCAGGATTAGAAGCAGGCCCACCCAGCCTCCCAACGTGCAGAGCTTTCGGTTAGCAGTGAGGGGCATCAGCTGGATCCTGGCTCTCCCTCACCACCCCTTCCTCCCCAGCTGGCTCCAGAGCACACGCTCATGTCCTTCCGGAAGGCCCTGGAGCAGAAACTGTATGGACTCCAGGCTGACATCACCATCAGGTAGGTGTGGGGGAAAGAAGACAGCACCGCTAACCCCCCACCCCCAACCAAGTGGCATCCACGTCCGGGTCTCTGCTGGCCAAACCTCTGGTCGCAGAGCCTCTGAGATGGGAGGGCGGAGGCCGGGATTATTCACAGCAGGGCAGGCAGCCTGTTCGTGCAAATGAATCTTGTGCCAAACTCCAGGATGTAATAGAGGAAAGAACAAAGGCTCTTGGTGCAGCCAGGGGTGGGGGATGGGGACCTGGAGCCCTGCCACAGACCCACTGGAAGGAAAACCTGGATCTCTGTGGCTCTGCACGATAGGACTCAAACACTCTGGTGCATAAAATGAGTGAGTGGCAGAGCGACATATACATTTTATACATGTAGATATGCAAGTATATATCAGTACAAATGGCAGGAAGAGTTCACACCAATGTTGTAACAGGTTATCTCTGAGAAGGGAAGTGAGCAGGGCTGTCATATATAGTTGCATGGGTTGTGTGCTGAACAAGGCCACCACATATGTGAGGACACTGATCAGTGCAGACATCATAGAATTGTGTATTTATCACAACTTCTAGCAAATGATGGTAAAATGCCTTGGGGAAGAGGGGCACAGGTGTTTTTTACTGTTTCACACTAAGGTGCCATATGAGCTATTGGCAGCCCTGGTCGGGTGGTGAGGGTGGGGGTGGAATCTGTCAAAGGGGCCTGTATGTGCACAGTTCTCATTATGGCATCACCTGGACTTTGTGCCAAGCCAAGTTCCACCACTTATAGGATGCAGACCTTGAGCTAGGTATTTCCCTCTCTTAGCCTCAGTTTCCCCAATATCAAATGAGGTAGCACCTACCTTCCAAGTTTTCTAAGAGGATAGGCCCAGCCTTTCCCAGCCCTCTCTCCTTGTAAGTCCCCACTCCCATCTGACTCTTATAGACAGCCACAGGGCATTGGCCCTTCGGGGTCATCCACCAGCCCACTGTCTCCCCTGTGCAGATGGGGAGCCCGAGGCCCAGAGAGGGGCAGAGCCAGCCAGGGTCCTGTGCTGGGTGGGGAGGTGTGGGGGGTGGTCACTAGTGGGCAGGTGAGAGGCCTGTGGGCGGTGACTCGGTGGCCCCACCCTCCTGCAGTCTGGACGGTGTGCCCTTCCTCATGCACGACGCCACCCTGCGGCGTACCACCAACGTGGAGGAGGAGTTCCCGGAGCTGGCACGCAGGCCCGCCTCCATGCTCAACTGGACCATCCTGCAGAGGCTCAACGCCGGCCAGTGGTTCCTGAAGGTCTGGCTGCACCCAGCCCAGTCCTAGCCTTGGAAAACATGGACAGGCACCCAAGGAGTGAGAGAGGCAGGGGTAGCCATAAGCTCCCGTGACCCCCACTCCCAGACCATCCCTGACCCCCAACCAGGCTGGTTAGAGCCTCCTCTGGGCTCCTGCCACCTGATCTCATGGTTGTCACTGCTTGTTCTGGGTCCCCCTCCCTCACCGGAAAAAGTTGATGGTGATGATGACAGTTAATAGTTAGAAGTGTTAACTCTAAAACTCTAGAGAGAGGTTGGTTCTCTGGTCTGAAATGCTACTAAAGGAGAACCGTGCTGGGGTCTGGGAGACATTCCAAGCAAGTCATCCTCTCAGTGAGCAGGGTGTGGGGTAGAAAGGTCAGGGTTGGGGGCTCCTAGAGCCCCCACAGGGCCGCAGCCATCAGTCTGCCTCACACACACCAGCAGACACTGGCAGCCCAGGAGTGTCCATGCATGGTTCCCAGGAAGGCATGGGGGGACCCCAAAGAGCTGGGGACACAGCCATATGTGTCCCTGTCCCTGCCAGACTGACCCCTTCTGGACAGCCAGCTCCCTGTCACCCTCCGACCATAAGGAGGCCCAGAACCAGTCCATCTGCAGCCTGGCGGAGCTCCTGGAGCTGGCCAAGGGCAATGCCACGCTGCTGCTCAACCTGCGCGACCCGCCCCGGGAGCACCCGTACCGCAGCAGCTTCCTCAACGTCACCCTGGAGGCCGTGCTGCGCTCCGGCTTCCCCCAGCACCAGGTGAGGCGCCCCTAAGCCCCAGCCTGGCTGGAGTCTTGCTCCCATGGAAGCTACCCCATCCCCTCGCCTCCCTGGCAGGGTCCTCGTGGCGACAAGAGGGGAATGAGAAAATCCTTTCGAATGTACAAAGGGCAGGAGTAGGTCCTGGTTCTCTGGTTACTTCAGTGAAGCGTTGCCCACAGCACTGCAGTGTAACAATTTGGGACCAGAGGAATCTGACACCGATTCAGGACAGTACACTGGATGCTGGGGCCATGTGCAAAGTCAGAGATGTTTGGTTGTCCATCTTGTTGTGACAGCGGTCCAGACGGAAAGCTTCCTGCGTTGTTGCCAGGGTGCTTCACAGACGTGGCTGGGACCAAGCCGTCCTCTGCTAACCATTGCATCTATGTGCTCACCTCGTGCCAGGTCCCATCTCCTGTAACCCCTACAGGTGCTCCAGGAGGGGCAGGTTCTCCTACCCCATTCTGCAGAGGAGAAATCTGAGGCCACCCCCTCTCCTGCCTACAGGTCATGTGGCTGCCTAACAGGCAGAGGCCCCTCGTGCGCAAGGTGGCTCCTGGCTTCCAGCAGACGTCGGGCTCCAAGGAGGCGGTCGCCAGCCTGCGGAAAGGCCACATCCAGAGGCTGAACCTGCGCTATACTCAGGTGTCCCGCCAGGAGCTCAGGTGCCAGCCCTGCCCCACCCTGGGCTCACCCGGAGGAGGACGGACTGAGCCTCCCCAAGCCCTGTCACCCCGCCCAGCCAGGCAGAGATGAGACGTAGAACATGGAGGGCAGACCCAGGCTCATGGCTGAGCTTAGCCCTCTGGAGAAGACGTTCCTTCCTCCAGGGTCAGCTGTGAGGGTGGCATGAGGTCATGAAGGGGACGTGATTTACCAGCTTCCCACTCTGTGCCCAGAGCGGCCAGAGTCTGCGAATTGACCCTCCTCTGTCCCTCTGCCCCCCACCTCCAGGGACTACGCGTCCTGGAACCTGAGTGTGAACCTCTACACAGTCAATGCACCGTGGCTCTTCTCCCTGCTGTGGTGTGCGGGGGTCCCGTCTGTCACCTCCGACAACTCCCACACCCTGTCCCGGGTGCCTTCCCCGCTCTGGATCATGGTGAGTTGGGAGGGTGTCGGGGGGCAGAGCTGAGAGCTGCCTGTGGCCCACTCAGCAAGCTCTGTGCTCTGGGCCGTCCCTGGTGGGGCCTGGGGTGAGGCATCCATGGTGGGGGCACGGGCTTGAGGCAGGAGGAGGATTGCGTGACCTCCGGGATCTGCACTGCGGTGCTAGGAGGACCCGGGCCTCACCCACAGGGAGAAAAATGTCACTTAAGAGCCCTGGAGAAGTAAACAACTGCTTGGGCTTTTTTGGTTTGGGGGGTTGTTTATCATATTTTGTTTCAAAGGAAGGGAAGTCATTGTTAAAAGAAAGCACCAACAGGACAAGAATCGGGAGCACTAAATTCTGGTCAGAGAACAGGGAGCAAAGCCGCGTTGCAGTCGGCCCACCGCGCCCCTGCACGCAGGCCAAGTGCCAGTCCCTGTTCTGTGCTGGGGGCCTGGGCCCTGACCTCCAGCCTGAGCAGTGGGGTTGTGGCTCGCTGCCACCTCTCCGAGGACGTGGAAGCCAGGTGGAAGGTCTGCCGTGGCTGAGAGGGTGCCAGTGCCCCTGAATCGGAACTGAGGCATGATGCTTACGAGGACAAGAGGGTAGAGGGAAGGCAGCCTGGGGAAAGGGGGCGAAGCTGAGAGGAGGGGAGGACGTGGGCCAGGGCAGTGGGCGCCGGACTTCATCTTGGCCCCTTGAGAGCCCTGCAGACCCTCTCTTCAGCTGTCGCCTACCCCTCATCCTTAAACACCTCCAAAGCCTCCGCTCAGGATGGCATGAAAGAACTCGCTGACTGCGGCAGCAGTGACGAGCACACTGGGATTTTCAGGCACAAGTTGACCAACAGTGTCCCACCCCCGTCCCCGCCTTTGCCTGAGATTGTGGAGGTGGCTCGGGAGGCTGGCCCGGCCCCTCTGCAGCTCCCTGGAAGGGAAGCCCCCTCGCTCCACACCCTCTGGTCTTTGCAAGGTGACATGTGCACTTAGCTCACACAGATGCCACACACCTGGTCACAGGTCCCCATGCCCACCTGCTAGTTCTGTGACATCCTCACATTCATATATCTGTCTTTCATTGTCTGGCTCTTGCTTTGAACCTCCTTAAGCACAGAGACCCTCCAGGTTAGCACACACCACCTCTACCCTGAGCGCATACAGGTCTCTCCTACCCTGAGTGTGCACACACACACACGCATGAGCATGCACATACACACACACACCCACACCCTCCAAGCCCCAGGCCCACAGTGCCCGGAGCCCACTCCTGCAAAATACAATCCTAAGCCCCCAAGCCCCTTTAAGGTCCTCCCTTGCCCTTCCCCAATGGTCACATGGGGCCCTCAGGCCCATGGATGCTCAGCCTGGAGCCTCGGTCTGGACCGGCCATGACTGGAAGCTGGCCTCGGCCGTCTCTCCACAGACCCCGGACGAGTACTGTCTCATGTGGGTCACCACCGACCTGATCTCCTTCACTCTCATCGTTGGCATCTTCGTGCTCCAGAAGTGAGTAGGCTCTGACCCCTTCCACGGCATTCCCTCCCCTGAGCCCTGGGCCCTCAGCCAGGAGAAGGGCTCCCAGCCACCCCACCCTCCCTCAGCCAGAGGCTGGGTGGCTTCCGGAATAAACACCCAGCTGGGAGCCCAGAGCCGGACTCTGCGGTGATTTGCTGTGTGGACTTAGGTGGCTCTTGGCCCATCTCCAGGCTTGCCTGCTCACCCGGCAGCCAGGGTGGGTCCACCAGCACTCAGCACCCTCGTGCCACGCTGAGAACCTCCCCAGCCCTCAGCGAGACAGCTGGGATGTGCTTGCAGCCGGGAGGTGTGGTTGGTCCCGGGAGGGTTCAGGGCCAGCCCGGGGCCCCCACTCAGCCAGGAACCAAGGGGCTGGGGTGTTATTCTTGACTGACGTTCTCTCTCTGTCCCATCCTGCTCTGATCCGGCGCATGTCCCTCCTCTCCCCCTCCCCCTCTCTCTGCTGCACTCTGGCATCTCACAGCTATCACTTGATCAGGTAATTCTGGTGTGGTCCTCCTCCTCCTCCTGTTCCTCTTTCTCCCTGCTGCCACCCCCTTCTCCAGTTCTGTCTGAAAACCTGCCGTGCACCAAGCCCTGTGCCTGGGTCACACTCGCAGACACCTCCCCCTGCCTGAAGCCTCCCGGAGTCCCTGCAATCCTCCGCTCTTCCCATCTGGCCGTGTGTGTCCTTCTGCCCTCTGTCCCCACTGCGGTTTCTGCAGAAACTGGGGACCAGTGTTTCCTCGTTTCCTCGGCAGCTTCCTGACCTGGCCTCTCCCAGCACAAAAGTGTCTCCCTCTGGGGGAGGGGACCCTGCCTGGGCACACCGCCCGTCTGCACCTGGCACTCACAGGGGCCATCAGCACCTGCCCCCTGCAGACTCTACCAAGTTGCTGTCTTTTCCCATCCTCTCCCTCTCTGGTCTCGCCTCTCCCATAGTTCACGCTCTGTTTATCTTCCTCCGAGTCTCTCTCATCTCCTTCTATCTCTTCTTCACGTCCTGTCTCTGACTCCCATGCCCACCCCACACACAGCCTTTTCCTCATCCCCCCAGGACCCCACAATGGCTGAGCATCCTGTTCCGGGTGTTCTGGCTGCGGAAACCCTGCCTGCCACCTTCCTTCTGGGTTTTGTTGTTAATTTTCACGATGAGACCTAGAGCTTAGGGGTCCAGGTCCCCCTTGGTCAATGCCTTAGGCCCTTCGGGGTCAGGCAGCTTTACTGCTGAGTCTCTAGGAGGAGAAACTGTGCTCCCTGGCTGTGGGACGTTCCCCGGTCCCTCCTTCCTCCTCCACTCAGTCGCAGACACCCACATGTGCCGGCTGGTGCTGGGCCTGCGGAAGGAGTCAGGCCTTGTCACATGGAGCCACCAGTGTGCTGGGCACACCGCCCTGTGGCGATTCCAGCAGCTGGCACGGACATGCCCGCCCTGCTCAGATACAGCCAGGGCGGTGCCATTGTCTCCTGGGGATCAGGAGAGGCACAGTGGAGGACAGACTGTGGGGGACAAGAGGGGGAGACTCTCATTTCCCCATGGGCCTCACTCCATTCATTCCCTCAGCAAGTGCCTGCTGCGCCCCGTGAGTGGCGGGCACTGGTGTTGGTGCTGGGGCACAGCGGTGAGTATGTGCAATCACTGCCCTCGGGGTTCACAGGGCAGCTAGCCCCGCCACGGCGTAGGTGCTGTCCCCCTGCCTCCTGCTTTCCCCTCATCTGTCTGCTTTGTTCATCCATCTGTCTGCCTGTCCTCCTGTCTGTCCATTTCTGCTGCGCTGACCCATCTAGAAACTTGCAATTGGTTTCTTGTAGAGTCTTGGCTCCCTCCATCCACCCGAGCAGGATTCAGTCCCCAGGGGGTTGGGTTCTCCTTTCCAAGCTGACCACCCACTCCCTTGGTGGGGACAGGGGTGGGGTCCAGTGAACCTTTCCGCCTAGACCGCAGGAAAAGTCTAAGTTCAGAGGCCAGGGCCGTAGGGCTAGTTCAGAGGAACAACAGCAGCAAAAACAGTACCCCAGGCTGGGCATGGGAACCTGAGTCCTCCCCACTCGGTGCCTGGTCCCTGCATGCCCTGTGCACGCCCCACCTCCCAGCCTGGTACTTGTCTCAGCCATCAGAGGCACTAGTGCTCTGGCCTGTCCCTCCCCATTAGGGTTGCTGAGATGGAGCAGTGGACAGCCCCACCCCAAGTCACTCTAAGCCCTTTGCCTCAGGAACCTGTGAAGACCAGCCCTTGGCAAAGCCCCCACCACCCGCCCCACCTCCTTGCTTTCCTTCCCTTTCTCCCTGGGCTCTCCCCTCTGGCTTCACTCAGCCTGGTCATAATGGCGGAGCTATAAGAGACATCAGCTGGGGCTCCACAAGGTTGGTATGTGCCCCAGGGCAGGTCATCAGAGTCATTCCTGCTAAGCTCCTCCTGCCCCCAAATTTGTCCCATCCAAAGAGAGCCAGGTGTGTAACTGGGGCACCTGAGACAACTAGCCAGCCCTGATCCTGGGCCGGGGCTGCTGATATAGGGTTCTGGAGGTCAGAGGGAGGGAGGCGAGAGAGCCCTGGTTGAGTCAGTAGGCTCTGATTCAAGCCCCAGCTCAAACCCTCTCTGGGCCTTAGTTTCCCCATTTGTACAGTGGGACAAGAACCCTGCTTGTCTCTCAGGCCACATCCAGAGAGGCTCTGGAAGTGGTCAGGATCCCTGCTCCAGGGAAGGGGTGGGAAAGGACCTGATGTCCATGGGGCCATCTCTGCAGGTGGCGCCTGGGTGGCATACGGAGCTACAACCCTGAGCAGATCATGCTGAGCGCCGCAGTGCACCGGACCAGCCGGGACGTCAGCATCATGAAGGAGAAGCTCATCTTCTCAGGTGCACAGCCCCACACACGGGTTGAGACAGGCACTGGTGTCAGTTCTCCGTACCCCACATGTGCACACAGACATGCACACACACATGTTCACATGCAGCACGCACAGGGAGGGACACAGGCACAGACATACACAAACCCGCCTGGGTTTACACCCACCTACATACAAAGACACACACGCCTCCACGCACAGGCTGTGGCTTGGTGTCAGTGCTGTGGGCAAAGCTAAGGTGCAGGGCTGGGGCAGGGAAGGAAGCCGTTTTGAAGGCCCATCCCCCTTTGCCTGGTTCATACACAGATGCCACTAATATTGATCTGGGCCCTGCTCATGGCCAGTCCCCATGGACAATCCCAGTCTGCTGGAGGAGGAACAATGTAACAAAGACGTGGGAAACAGAGTTATCACAGATGGGGTGCTGAGCAGGGAGCGAGGTCAGAGCTGCCTGGGGCAGTGAGGAAGGGTTGGGAGACTGACATATTGAGGTGTGGAGGATGGGCAGGAGGGGCCTGGGTCTCGGGTTTGAGGTGGGGGCTGGGTGAGCAAGGGAAGGAAGGGCATTCCAGGCAGGGGCAGCGTGTGCTCAGAGGTGGCAAGGGAGCACTGCATGCCTGGGCATGGAGAGTGAGAGACCACTCCACAGGGCTGAGCTCAACGCTGCAGACCTTTCCTGAGCCTCTGCTCAATGCCTGGCACTGTGCCAGGCACCGGGGACACAGTGCCCAGACCCCAACCCAGCTGCGGGCACTCAGAGGAGGCTTTCAGGGGGCTGAAATAACACAGATGAGAAGACTTGAGCTAGATTTTAGGAAAAGGACGTATTGATGGGGAGGTCACTTCCAAGAAAGGGGCCATATGTGTGCAAAGGCCCTGAGAGTAAACACACGGGTGCCACCTTCGAGTGGGTTTTCTGTGGCTGGACAGTGCAGTTCCAGGGAACAGCAGACTGGGCGAGGCCAGAGGGTTTGGCAGAGACCAAGGGGCCTGTGTGCCAGGCTCAATGCCAACCTGACCCCAGTGGTACTATCAGCTTCCAAGTGACCGGCTGGGTTGTCACAGGCCACCCTGCCCCATTTGCCAGCCATCTTCACGCCCCCGCCCGCTTCAATTCACATTCTGTCTCCCAACAGAGATCAGCGATGGCGTGGAGGTCTCCGATGAGCTCTCCGTATGTTCAGACAACAGTTTTGACACGTATGCCAACAGCAACACCACCCCCATGGCCCCCCGAGGGGGTGGCAGCCGCACCAAGACTCTCACAGACCGGAGTGGGCGTTAGCTGAAGACCTGTCTGTCCCAGCCTGTACCTAACGTGAAAACCGGGGAGCCTAGGAGAGCTGGCAGAGCATGTCTGGACTCGGAGCGCTATGGGAGCTGGCTCCCCAGCCTCCTCGTGGGCTCGAGCCCCTTGTCAGCCACAGCCTCTCTTGGAGGGAGCTGCCTTCTCCCCTGAGGCCCAGCTGGGCCAGGACTCCTGCCTCTCAGATGCCCCTGCAGGCCTAGGGCTCCTCTGGGAAGTGTAGGGCCTGGTCCCCCTCTGGAGGCCCTCCCTAGCTTCACAACCTGGAAGCTTTGACGGGTCACTGGGCCATGCCATGCCCCCGACGGCAGTGGAGGAGGTGGATGTTCACCTGTGCCCACATGTGTCTGTCCTCCTGTCCAGTCCATGAGGTGACTGACTTCTCCGTTGTTATCCTGCCCCAAGAGCCCGGGCCGGACCTCTACCTGAAGCAGCACTGTTCTTCCCGTCAGCCTCAAAGCACAAGGAGGTCCGGCCCAAGAGGAAAGCCAGCGGCAGTGGTGGGGACATGCCCTCTTCCCGATCAGCCTCCCACCACCACTGGCCCCTGCCCCAGGAGAGGGCTGAGCCATGTCCCCTAAGAGCAGCTGGAGATGGCCATAAGTGCGAATTCAGGGCTGCTCGATCTCAGGCCCAAGTGTCCAACAGGCCTCTGGGGCAGAAGCGCCCCTGAGGCCCAGGAGATCCCCAGACTGCTGCAACCTCAGGTTCCCACATCTGTGGCCACAAGGCGGGAGCCACCTGGGCATGGTCAAGGGCGGGTGTGTGGCTAAGTGGGCTGCAGTGGAGGGAGCCCAAGGGCCTTGGCCACGATGATTAAAGCTGCCATCTTGATGTGTGTTGTCTCTCTGAATTGTCAGGACGGTGGGCACAGAGCATGCTGGGGTTCGGACTCAGTTCTGGCCTCATGATTTGAGGAGGAATCATTCTCAGAAATTAATGGGACAGTGGCAGGATGAGTGGGCCCCTAGCCTGCGCCAGCCATGATGCCAGGGGGTCCTGAACAGCCCTGTGGCTGAGAACCAGTGTCATATTGTGCACGGGACGACTGTCTTGAAGAGATAAAAGTGACCGTCCAAGGCCTAGATGGCTTAGAACAGGCAAAGCCTGAATCCCACCCAGATGCTGGCTCCAGCGCACCCGCCAGCCTTCCGTCCCAACTAGGAATGGCGCAGCAGCTGGGGAGGCCTCCTGGGTCTGTAGGGCTGGGGAGTGGGACTGGCAAGTCCCCTCTTGGCCACATGGAGGTGTCTGAGCCCCACCCCACCTATGGAGGGATAAGCCCTCAGCCCAGAGATGCCTCTTCCCCGTGGCAGGAGTTTGGCTTTGACTTCTCCGGGCTTTGGACCTGCCTGAGGCGGGCCCACCCCATACCCAGCACAGTACAGCCCTGGGACCGCAGGTGTCCCTGCTTGTCTTTCAGTCCTTGGGGATCTGCCCTCTACCCTCTGTGGGAAGGAGTCAGTGGTGGAGCCAGGGCAGGCCTAGAACTCTGACCTTTGTCCTAAGAGTCTGCATGGTCTTAGGTGTGTCCTAAGGGAGAAGGAAGAGGCTGAATCCCAGCTCCAGCCTGCACTGAATTAACTGTGCTTCCTGGTGGCCAAGGATGTCTCTTTGCCAAACAGAGGTCTTCTGGATAGCATTCTTGGGGTCTGAGAGTCTGGCACCTTCTTGGAGGAAAGGAAGAGCCCCCTCCAAATGTTAGAACCTACCCTGGGTAGCCCACATTAACCCTGAGGACTGCCCCTCCAGGAGCTGAGGGATTCACCCCGCTTTCCCCAGTATTGAGCCTCTGGCGAGCTCCTCCCTTCCTGGGGCAGAGACAGCTCCCGCCTCTCCCTGGGCACAAGGGAGTGAATGAAACCCAGAACCACTGTGCCCCTCCAAGGGACACACACCCCCTCAGCTCATACCACGTCACGCACGGACCACATGCTGTGTATACACACACGGTCCATGGATACACACACCCCTGTGACATGGTCCCCAGAGACACAGATCCCTGACACAGAGAAATGAACCATCACATAGAGACAGAGACAGGGTCATGGAAGTCCCACAGTGATATGTCTGCTGTCAAGCAGGAACACAGGCACAGAATCATGCAAAGCCAAATCTGTAACTGTGGCAGTCACACTCTTAGTCACATCTACGGCTACACCGTCACACACACCCACATGTGCACACCCACCGCAATGCTACACAGTCACCTTGTTCCATGCCCACCCACACTCACCCACAGGTACCCGGAACACCTACACTCTCACAACTACACGATTACACGCCCCCGCCCCCAACATACACCTTCAAATCCACCGTCATTCACGGACACGGCCAGCACCAGGTCACCCCCAATCCCAGGCACACCAGATCCCTTACTTAGTTGCACACACAGTCAATCCCACGCTTACTCCCGCCCCCTTCTGCCTTCCCTCCCTCCCAGGGCTAGTCCAAGAGCAGAACAAAAGCCCAGTGTCCCCCTCCCCCTCGCTTCTCCCTTCCCCTCCCCCCTGGCGTCCAGCCCCTTTGTCCTCCCACAGCTGAGCCTGAGCAGGAGTCTGGGCAAAGCAGCAGGGACATTGGAGCCCGGGCTGCCAGGGGTGCAGGCAGCAGGCACAGACCGGAGTGGTCCCTGCAAGAGTGGCAGCTGCAGAGCCCCTGGGAGAGGGCGTGGCCAGGTAAGCGCTAGGTACATGGGGCAGGGCTTGGGATGCAGGGTGGTGTCAAGACTAAGCCTGTGTTTGTGTGAGTGGAGGTGGGTGTGAAAAAGACACAGGGATGGTGGATGGGTCCCTCGGTGTGCGTCTGAGATGGAAGGGAGCCCTATCTGGGAATCCCCACCTTTCATCTTCCAACTGGGTGTCCTTTGGCCCCCCGACTGGGAATCCCCAGGGTGGAACTGGGTCTGACATCTGTGTGTCCACAGCGCCAGCACGGTAGAAGCAGCAGAAAGAATGAAAAGTACTGGTGCACTTCCCAGGAGGGGACTCCCTCCTTCCCCCAGGCAGCCCCTTGTGCTGTGGGGCACCCCTGCGGGGAGAAATCCCATCCTGTGCTGATGAAACCTGCCCCCTTGGGTCTCAGCTTGGAGTGGGGCTGCTTTCTGGGCCAGCGGAGGACAAACCGGGGGTAGCATGCTCTGATGACCTGTCTAACCTCCCTCTGCTGGTCCTGGCAGCTCCTCCGGACACACCCCCACCCGGGCAAGAGTGGCATACCCTGGAGCCAGCGGGGTTCAGGGCCCAGCCCCTCTACTTGGGCAAAAGCAGTGACCTTCTTTGTCCACCAGGGAGCTCATTTCTTGTGATGCTGAGGCAGGGACCCACTGTCTGGGATTACCAGGGCATGAGCAGAGAAAGCCAGGCTGACACTGGGCAGGTTCTGACGTCCGGAGGCAGCAGAGCAGCTGGGACTGGGAGAATGGACGGAGAGGCAATGGGAAGAGGGCAGATCTGAGCTCCCCTAGAGTAAGCTGCCACATACAGGAGCAAGCTCCTGTCCCTGGAGGGATGCAGAGGCTGTATCTTCATGATGGCCAGATCATAACCAGCACGGTATGGTCCTTCCATCTGTAGAGTGCCTTCACTCCTCGTTTGATCCTTGCAGCAAACCTCTGAAGGGCAGACTTCCTCTGTGTGCTTGTTTCCTTATGACTAACTTAAATAAAGCGGGAAGGAGTGCTCTAAAGAAACTTCTCAGGGTTGTGAGGGTCAAATTAAATTATGTACGTAAAAAAAACCAGCACACACTGTGTACTCCCTTCCTCTTGAATACGAACAATGTAAAGTGGCCAGGCACAGTGGCTCACGCCTGTAATCCTAGCACTCTGGGAGGCTGAGGCAGCAGGATCACTTGAGGTCAGGAGTTTGAGACCAGCCTGAGCAAGAGCGAGACCCCATCTCTACTAAGAATAGAAAAATTAGCTGGGTGTGGTGGCACACACCTATAGTCTCAGCTACTCGTGAGGCTGAGGCAGAAGGATAGCTTGAGCCCAGAGTTTGAGGTTGCTGTGAGCTAGGCTGAGGCCATGGCACTCTAGCCTGGGTGACAGAATGAGACTCTGTCTCAACAACAACAAAAAAATTGTAACATTGAGTTTGTGTTATGTACCTAGCATTTTCCTATGTGCCATTTTATAGTCACAAAGTCATAACAACCCTGTGAGGTAGGAATTATGATCCCATTGCACATGAGATAACTGGGGGGTGGGGAGGAGGGCGGTGAGAGGAGAGACTTGCCCAGGCCACACAGTAAGTCTGTAGTAGAGACAGGATTAGAACCTCCATTTGTCTGCAGAGTTCCTTCCACTTCCCCAGGTGCCTCCTTGAGAACACCAAGAGAACTCAACCATCCTTCTCAGTTTGAAGGTCCCGTCTCAGGGATACCTTCCCCAACCTCCCTCCAACTAGGTTTAGTGCCCCTTCTATGAACTCCCCTAATATTCTGTACTTCCCAGGGGCCCCTGCCAAGCTGTGAGCTCTGGGAAGTCAGGGACTGTGTTGTCTTGCTTACTGCCTAGAACAGAAAAGGCTCTTAATAAATACTCGCTTAATACATTCACTCAACTTTGAACGGGTGTTAATTGAGCACCTACTATGGTATGATGCTGTGCTGTGGAGGGAGGAGCAGATATTAGAGTGATCAGGGTTTGGTCAATGGGAAGCACCTACCTAAGATGAGATTCTCAGGAGACAGGATGGGCTGAGGAGAGGGAGGTAGAGTTATTATAACCTCTCACCTGGCTACACACACACACACACACACACACACACACACACACTGGGTTTCTGTGGAGTACCTTGAATCCCTTGATCAAGGGCTCCCGTCATGGGACCCTCCCTACACAGATATTCTGCCCAGGTTCCAGTAACCTCCCTGCCCTCCCCCTCAGACCTTGGGGCGGTAAAGGCTTCCTGCTGTTGGTAGCCACGTAGCACTACTCTATCCCTGTTAGAGTCCCTAAAGACCACCTCCGTTTATAAATCGTTCCTTTATTGGACTCTCCTCAAATTACCGTATTTGAGAGCGTGCCATCTGTCTCCTGCAGATATTGACAGGAAAAAGCTTAGCGAGTGTGAAGAACAGAAAAGGGCAACATGTCTGACTGGAAAAGCGAGGGAGAATGTGGTGCCGATAAGGCAGGGGCTAGACCTCTGCAGCCCTAAGAAATCTGGATGCATGCATGGAAGGAAGAGTAGTTGAATGAACGGAGGCACACACGCGTCAGCAAACTAGTGATCTAAGAAACGAATAAATGGATGAGGTCGCTCCCCTGACCCAGCCCCAGCCAGGTGGATCCCCCCACGCTGTTTGTGTTCTCTACCCAGCAGGATGCGGGAGGCCCCCGGGCCGGAGGAGTCAGAGCCCGAAGCGCAGTGCGCGGGGTCCTGCCACGCGCAGCGCGTCCTGCAGACCCTCAACGCGTACCGGCGGAGCGGCACCCTCACCGACGTGGTGCTGCGCGCCGGCGGCCGCGACTTCCCGTGCCACCGCGCGGCGCTCAGCGCGGGCAGCGCCTACTTCCGCAGCCTGTTCGCAGGCGGGCGGCCCGAGCGTGGCCTGGCCGTGGTCCCCGTGGTGCCGGTGGCGCCCGACGCTCCGGGCGCGGGGCCGGCCGGGGCGGCGGCGGCGCTGGCCGTGGTGCTCGACTACGTGTACGGCGCGGGCGTGCGGCTGCGCGCCGAGGACGAGGCGGCCGCCGTGCTGGCGCTGGCAGAGCGGCTGGGCGTGGCGGGCCTGCGCGAGGCCTGCGTGCGCTTCCTTGAGGGTCGCTTGCGCGCCGCCAACAGCCTGGCGCTGCGCCGCGTGGCGGCGGCCTTCTCGCTCACCTCGCTGGCCGAGCGCTGCGGCCGCGTCCTGCGCCAGGCCTTCGCCGAGGTGGCGCGCCACGCCGACTTCCTGGAGCTGGCGCCCGACGAGGTGGCGGCGCTGCTGGCCGACCCCGCGCTGGGCGTGGCGCGCGAGGAGGCAGTGTTCGAGGCTGCCATGCGCTGGGTGCGCCACGACGCACCGGCCCGCCGCGGGCAGCTGCGGCGCCTGCTGGAGCACGTGCGCCTGCCGCTGCTGGCGCCCGCCTACTTCCTGGAGAAGGTGGAGGCCGACGAGCTGCTGCAGGCCTGTGGAGAGTGCCGCCCACTGCTGCTCGAGGCCCGCGCCTGCTTCATCCTGGGCCGCGAGGCTGGTGCGCTGCGGGCCCGGCCGCGGAGGTACGGCCGCCGCCCCCTAGCCACCCACCCCCTGTTACGTTCTTCAACCACCCACTCATTTCTGCATCATCGTTTCACTGTCTTGGCCATGCCTCTTGATGAAATTGTCATTCGTTCAACATTTCATAGGCTTAGAGCTGGGAATTCTGCCCTCGAGGAGTTAACAGGCAAATGGGGGAGATGCAGGGATCCCGCACCTGGTGCACAGTCTTTCTCTCACCCATGCACCCATAAATCTGAGTGCTTACTCTGTGTAGGTCCTGCGCTGGGTACCAGGGACATTGGGCTAATTTGGAAACACCCTTCGCCCTCTGGGAGCTCACAGACTAGTGAGGGATACAAAGAGGCAGGGAAATAGCGAAAACATGCGAGACCTGTTCCCACCCTGGAATGTCAGACCGGGAGACTATGGGTGGGGGTGGTCCAACGTGGTCTGTCACTTCCACCCCAGGGACACAAGACAAGGATGACACTGACTTACCATTATATCTCTAACACTAAGCACAGAGCCTGGAACAAAGAAAATGCTCAGTGTCGAAGGAATTAGAAAACCAGTAGCTTAAGAAAGGGTTTGGAAATTCTGGCGGGGTCAGTGAGGAGTCAGTGGGAGGAAAGACTGCTTTGCTGAAAGGGTGAGTAGTCTGGCTCAATAGAATTCGTGATCCCCGGGGGCTGGCTTTAGGGGATAGTCATAGGAGGAGGGAGGCAGCAGAATTAGCAGTTGGGGATGCAGGCCAGAAAAGAGTGTTGAGGAGGATGAGTTAGCGTTAGACACACGTGGGCTTGAATTCCAGCTCTGTCACTTATTGGCTGCATGACTTTGGGCAAGCCATAGTCTGTGAGCCTTAGTTTCCTCCGCTGTGAAAGGGATAATAAATCCCTACCTAATAAAACTGTCATAGGATTAAGCGAGGCGATTTTTCTAGGTAAGAGCAAGGGCTCTGTAAAGATTTTCTCTTTTTTTCCTGTAATTTAGAGGTCAGTAGAATGGGGTGGAATTAGTGGCCCTCTTCCTATCAGTAGCCAGAGGGAAGGCTGGAAGTGGCAGAGTCCCGGGAGAGGGGCAGAAGAGCATGGAAGGGGCAGCAGGATGGCACAGTGGGATCAGTGACCAGGAAGAGAGAGGGCCGAACTTGGGTGCGAGTCAGCAGACATCGGGCCTATCCCCACACCAGGTTCATGGACCTAGCTGAAGTGATCGTGGTCATCGGCGGTTGCGACCGCAAGGGTCTCCTGAAGCTGCCCTTCGCCGATGCCTACCACCCAGAGAGCCAGCGCTGGATCCCATTGCCCAGCCTGCCCGGCTACACGCGCTCGGAGTTCGCGGCCTGTGCTCTCCGCAACGATGTCTACGTCTCCGGTGAGGGCGGGGCCGCCACAGGAGCCCCCACGGGATTGGCGCATCACCTCCCACGCACCGCCCCCGTTGTTTTTCCCTCCAATCGTGAGATGGGGGCGGGATGTTTTCTGATAACCTACCGTTATTGGCTGAAGTGGTATGCCAGCAGAGCCAATCACTGGTGTGGGACTATGCACTTGATTCAGCAAGGTCCCTCCCCTTCGATTCATATTAGTATTAATAATAACCACTTATCTTTATCCAGCTTGCTGTGTGCTGTACATTATGCTAAGCAGCTTACATTTATTTAATCCCCCTACAATGCCATTTTACAGATGAGAAAACAGGTTGAGAGGCTCGGAATTTCCCCCTAGTCTCAAAAATGGCAGAGCTAGGAGGAACACAGGTCTGTTTGATACCAACGAACTGTGTCCTCCCTGAGATTCAGGCCCTAAAGATTCAGAGAAGAATAAAGCACAGTCCTTGCTCCCCTGGAGTGCGCTGGAGAGGGGCACAGACTTCACATTACCACCAGGCAGAATGTGATCAGAGCTCTCAGAGTCCCCCGATGATCTGAAATCCCACTCCGGGAATCTGGCCCACCTTCATGGAAGGGATGATATTTCAGCTGGACCTTGAAAGTCAGAGGGAACAGTATAGCCAAAGGCACGAGGGCAGGGACATGCAGAAAGGGACCCTGGGCACTGGGGGCTCTGAAGTGCAGGTTGAGTATATCTTGGAGAAGCAGGAGTCAGGTTAGGGAGGCTTTGACTCTGGGCTTGGGCAGACTGTACTTGATGCTGTAGTGAGCTCTGGGTGCCCACGAAAAGTTAGGAGCAGTAGAATGAGCCAGGGAGGCCTCAGAGACCATCCAGACCACATAGTACCACTGGACAATTTTTCCAAGGCCACTGATGGCCTCTGAGCAACATGTGGGGACTCTGCTGGGTGCCACTGAGAATACACAGGTGGGGGCTACCAAGCAGATGTGGCTCTGGTCACAGGCTCATGCTGAGCAGTGTGGTCAGGGTTTTCCCTGGGGAGGCTGCCCCTGAGAGGTGAATGCCTGGTCAGGATCTCTGGTGTGGCCAGGCATGGGGAGGGAGAGTCCACAGCCTGCATCCTCAGTGCCTGGCCCTATAGGGCGTGTTGTGTCCTTCAACTGCACTGATACTGGGCTGGGGGGCCAGAAGCTCTGGTTCTGGTCATTGCTCTGGTGAAAGCCCATGTGATCTTCAACATGTCATTGCTGGTCTCTAAGCCTCATCTGAGTTTCCTGTGTGTAGCCTGGGTGTAAGAATCCCAACACCTCATGGAGGGATGAGATCAGAAATGAAATCATGAAGGTGAAGGCAGAAATAAGGGAGGATCATTGGGTCACCCTCTACCCCTTCCCACTCCCAGTGCAGGTGGCTGTGCTTTGCCGTGATCCCCAGCACATTTCTGATGCTTGTCTTGGGTACCCTATGTACTCTTACCTTTAGTAGAGTGGCCCCCTCTTTGCCTCTCTGCGCACTGAGCCTGGCACACCATCACAAGGCACCTAGTTAAGGTCAGCTCCTTCTTTCTGAATCTGTCAGACCTCTCCCCTCAAGAGTCCTAACTTAGACCTTCTCACTACTGGTTCAAAGCACACTGTCTGGGTCACAAGCTCAGAGTCTTACACCAGCCCAGGGGAAGTCCTTCCTGCTCTAACCTTTCCTGTTCTCAGTTCTTAAACCTTTCTTTGGATTTGGGGCTCTAGTTTCTAGCTCTTTAGGGGTGCTGGGGATAGGAAGAGGGCTTGGGGGCAACAGCTGCTTCTCTCTCCCTAGGAGGCCACATCAACAGCCGTGATGTGTGGATGTTTAGCTCCCATCTGCACACCTGGATCAAGGTAGCCTCGCTGCACAAGGGCAGGTGGAGGCACAAGATGGCAGTTGTGCAGGGACAGGTAGGCACACACTGCAGCTGCTGCCCTGGGACCCAAGGTACAGATCTATGTGGGGAAGGCTAAGACCTCCTCTTTGTAAGAAAGGATCTGAGAAAAGGAAAGGGACTTGCCCAAGGTCACATAACAATGCTAATAATTATAGCAGTTATTGTAATTGTAACAGCTAAGTGGTCAATAGTGTGGGTTCTGAGGCCAAACAGTCTAGGTCTGAATCTTGACTCTGCTACTTAAGACAAAAAAAAAAATCTGCCAATTATCTTTGTAAGCTGCGTCCCGAATTCAGAAATGCAAATAAAAGTGCTTCTTAGAATCGATTAAGTGGGGTGGTAAACCCTTCATAAATTACTACCTATTATTATTAAGCATCAGCTTGGTGCCAGGTATTTTACAGATCTAATTGGCATTCAATATCCATGCTAGAGACGGGTCTCATCCGCGGTTGACGAAAGGAAACCGGCTCAGGGAGGTTCCATAACCGGGTGGAGGCCGCCCAGGTGGTGGCAGCGCTGCGATTCTCCACCCTCCCCACCGGCCCCCACCCCTCCGCGTTGGTTTGGTCCTGAAGCTGGGCGGGGATGGGGCTAGTTTCCCGGTCACAGACTGAGAGACTGAAGCGGTGAGGCTGAGTGGCCAACAGCCCTGACTCCCGGCACCCCCACACCTGACCTCACCCGCAGCTGTTCGCGGTGGGCGGCTTCGACGGCCTGCGGCGCCTGCGCAGCGTGGAGCGCTACGACCCCTTCTCAAACACCTGGGCGGCCGCCGCGCCCCTCCCGGAGGCCGTGAGCTCTGCCGCGGTGGCTCCCTGCGCTGGTCGGCTCTACGTGATCGGGGGCGCCGGGCAGGACGGCGCCAACACGGACAAGGTGGGCGCGGGCCGGGGACCCGGAGAGGGTGTCGGAGGCTGCGGGGAACCAGCGGCGCCTGCCGCGTGCCAGGCGCAGAGCTGGGCGCTTTCGTGCCCTCCTCCATTTTCTCACTTAATCGTGTCAACAACCCAGAGGAGTCACCCCATGTTTCAGGCAAGGAAATGAGTTTAGAGAAATGACCCCAAGGTCACACAGTGGGTCAGCAGCACACCTGGACTCGAATGTTTGGGCTGGTGCCATATGGGTTTCATTGATTTTAAAAATTAAGTAAGGGATGGGATTAGTTAAAATGTGTTTACTCAATGCAAAAATAATACATTCATTATTGAAAATTTAGAAAACAAAGAGAAGTAGAAAAAAAATCACCCATAATCCTACCACTTAAGGGTAACTACTATTAATATTTTTGATGCATTGCCTTCCAGGCTTCTACCGAATTGAGTTTTGCTTTTCTTAGTTTTGTGCTCCCACTGTTAGTAAAATTTTGCATTCTGCTTTTTAATCTCACTTAAGTACTTTCCACATACTTAAGAAACTCTTCACAGCCATCATTTCAATGTTTGTGTAATATTCCCCTGGCTAGATGAACCAGTCTACTAATCTAACTCTCTGTTGTTAGACATTTAGACTTTTTGTGAATAAAAGTTAATCTTTATCATGACTGCTCCATCCCTCTCCCGATGGCCTCACAAGGCTGTGGTCCTGGGACCTGAATCTCTCCCAGATTAGGATCCCCACCCTTCCTTATTCCCTGGCCCCATTCCTCCAGCAAACCCTCCTGGAGCTGGGGAGGGGGGCACCTGTGGTGGGAGGCCCCATTTAGCACCATCCCATGCAGCACTGACTTCTTACAGGCTGCTGTGGAAGGTCTCCAGGGAAACAGTTGATGAAGCAGCCAGTAGGGTGAGCAGGCAGCTAGGTTACAGGTGTGCGCCCTTAGAAAGCGTTAATGGCATCAAAACACCCATGGGCTTGAGAGGCCTGTAGACAGCTATAGGAATGGGGCTATAAGACATGGCAGTTGGAATCTTGTCATGACCTCAAAGCACCAGGAAAAGAGAAGGGAGTTGACAGTGTATGCAGCCAGGAACGCATCCCCGTGGGGGACCTGCTCTGAGGACCTTCTATAGCACTAACACAGACAGTGTGTCCATCTGCTGGGACGTATACTCTCCCAGCTTGATATGATTATCTTACACAAGGTGACTGAGTTCTCCTCCATCAAAGGAGAGACTTCCTGCTAGGGCGGAGGGTTGGGGAATGGAAACACCAGGGAAGGCTTTAAGGATGGGGTGGCATTCGAGCTCGACCTTGAAAGATGAGGAGACTTTTGACAAAGGGAGTCCAGGGGCTGAGGACAGAACATAGAACGAGACTGAGAACATTTTAGGGCCGGGACAGTGGGTCTCCGCTACCCTCCCAGATGCTGCCTCAGGCCTGGTGGACACTGGCAAGTGTTGTGCTGAATGAGTGCCCCTGGGGAGAGAGGTGGCAGGGCCTGGCAGTGGAGCAGTGCGAAGGAGTCTTCACCACTGTTTGCCTCCTGCCCCTCAGGTGCAGTGCTTTGACCCCAAGGAGGACCAGTGGAGCCTGCGGTCACCAGCACCCTTCTCACAGAGGTGTCTCGAGGCTGTCTCCCTCGAGGACACCATCTACGTGGTGGGGGGCCTCATGAACAAAATCTTCACCTACGATCCTGGCACAGATGTCTGGGGGGAGGCAGCTGTCCTCCCCAGCCCTGTGGTAAGTGGAGGCTCCTGGGCACAGCACCTGGCACTGGTCCCATTCAGGAGAGCAGAACCCACTTCTAGGGCTCTGGATCTCAGAGGGAGTGAGTCTTGTGTGTGACTCCATGCTAGGTGGTTTTACACAGCACTCTAGCTTTGTCCTCATGTGATAATCAACCATACATTAAAAAACAAAAACAAAATCAGGCATTTCAGAGAAGAGAGGGAGGAGGACCTGGCACAAGGCCACCTATAAGGCCCTGTTAAGGCAGAGCCCAGAACCTTTGTCCCAAGTGCTGTAGCCTCGATTTGGGGGTTTGGTCTACATGACCCTGCCCTGAAGGCCCCCAGCTGGTAGCCTATTGTGGGGCAGGGGCTGGGGAAGGGATTTGCTAAGTTCTCCTGCTTCAGTGGTATCAGGGAGGGGCGGCTCAGGCCCTGGAAGCTCTGGCCCCTGCGGTTCCTAGGCTCCCCCACCTTCTGTCCCCATGCCGTGAAACTCCAAAGAGACTATATAAAGGTGTGGTTGAATTGCCAATCCTAACCTTTGGTGATCCTAGGAGCCTAAGATTTCTGGGTTCTCTGAGTCTAAGAGATGGTGGTGGTGGTGCTTATTGTTATTGGCATGTTTACTGTATTCCAGGCACTATGTAAAATACTTTACCTGCTTAACCCCATTAACTGTTAACAGAACCATATAAAGAGGCACTATTATTCTTCTCCCTTTACAGATGAGGAAAGTGAGGCCTAGAGAGGTTAAGTGACTTGTCTAAGGCCTTTCCTTGAGTGAGAGTCAAACTAGAGCTTGAACTCAGGTCTGTCTAGTTTCCTGCCTCTCTGTCATCCAGATTGCCTGTTCATAGTCTGTGGGTCGAGGTTCTGTTATCTGGGCTGGCCAGTTAGGGACACAGGGAGCCCCAGGTTGGATGGACCCCACAGTTGATTGTCTTTCTGTTTGTTCACCCAGGAGAGCTGTGGCGTGACTGTGTGTGACGGGAAGGTCCACATCTTTGGCGGGCGGGATGATCGAGGGGAAAGCACCGATAGGGTCTTCACTTTTGATCCCAGCAGTGGGCAGGTGGAGGCCCAGCCATCCCTGCAGCGCTGTACCAGCTCCCACGGCTGTGTCACCATTGTCCAGAGCCTGGGCAGGTGACTCAGACTTAGCCTGAGCCAGGAGGAGGAGAGGCAGGGGGAACACAGGCACACCTCTCTGCTCCCCTCATGGCACCTCCATGTAAATAGCCCCTTAATTTATTGTCCCCTTTTCTTGTAGAAATAAAACTTCATTGGGTCTGTGTTCCAGCTTGAGCCTGCTTTGCCTAGAGACGTAATCTGCAATATTACTTGTTTTACTCTTTACAAAGCACATTGATACCATCTTAGTCTGATTGGGCTGCTATCGCAAAATACCGTAGACTGGGTAATTTACAAACAACAGAAATTTATTTCTCACAGTTCTGGAGGCTGGGAAGTCCAAGATCAAGATGCCAGCAGATTTGATATCTGGTGAGAGCTCTCTGCTGCATAAATGGTGCTTTTTACTTTGTCCTCACATGGCAGATGGAGGCAAGGCAGCTCCCATCAACCTGTTTTATAAGGGTATTAATCCCATTCATAAGGGCTCCGCCCTCACTTCCTAAGTAATTTAATCTCTTCCCAAAAGGCCCCACCCCTTAATGCTATCGAATTAGGTATTAGATTCTGACATTCACACCATACCACATACATTAAACTATAAAATATTTCATGCATAGGCCAGGTGTGGTGGCACACACTTGGTAATCCCAGCACTTTGGGAGGCCATGGAGGGTGGATCTCTTGAACCCAGGAGTTTGAGGTTGCAGTGAGCTATGATGACACCACTGTACTCTAGCCTGGGCAACAGAGGAAGACTCTGTCTGATAAATAAATAAATAAATGAATAAATAAAATATTTTATGCATAAAAACAATATATATAATAACAGTTCAAGAATAGTAAACTATGTTTCCCAACATCCAGCTTAAAAAATAGATGGTTACGAATGCCTCTATAGACCCCTGAGTCTATTCCCAAACCCATCCCTTCCCATACTTCTCCCAGAGATAGTTACTATCCTTAAATTTGAGATTATTAGCACTCACTGCTAGAAGCCAGGGCCAAAGTGGGGCTCCCTAACTCATGGAAGAGGCTGAAACAACACAGAACAAAAATAGCTGTGGATCCCTGAGCAGCCATGGGGTTGAGGATCACAGCAAACTGCAGGCCCAGGGTGGAGGATGCCAGAGCCACAGGCTCCTGAGAATCCAGCCACTCTGGCTCTGCTCCTAGACCTGTGAGATCCCCAATATCAAGGTGGGGTACAAGCCCCTGATGCCATTATATGCCTGGGGCAGCACCCTAAAACTGCTGGATAGGGAGGGGTGGGCTCAGGCTCAGAGGAAGAGAGAAAGGGAACAAAAGATGCCAAACACAGATTCTGTGAGGCTGAGGCCCAGCCATTCAGTGTCTGTGCCTGTGGCTCTGAGGCCTGGAGGAGCTGGCCAAGCCCCATCTGTGGGTTCCCTCTCATTTGTGCTCGGATTGCCTTTTGAAGAGGAGCTATCATCTGCTCCTTGCATCCCCTTCCAGCACAGAGGCAGGCCCACACCCCTCCCCATCTTCCAAAGCCCCAGGGCCCTTTCTGCATGGTCTCTCGAGCTGGGGCTGGCCCATCACAGCAGGCACAAAGGCCTGGGTCCCAGCTGAGCTCCGACTGGCCGATTATCCCAGATTAGGGAGCCTGTGACCATCTGGACACAGCTGATAATGGCTGCAAGGGGAGGGGCGTGGGGTGGAGGCCCAGCCCCATGGTAATGCTCAGGACAAAGCAAAGAAGGCACTGTATTGCTTGCCTACCCAGGCAAAAGGTAGGGGCAAATCCAGGGCAAGCTCTGCCCAAGGACATGGGCATGTCACCTGGGCTGGACACTTGCATGCCAGGCAAAGTGTCCCACTTTCCCCATGCTGCCTGTTTATGCCCCCAGTGTTCTTTTGTGCGTGTGCCAATGGCTTTTCTACTTTGTCTGCCTAGGCACACCTGACATCCTTCCCTAGGGTTGCTCACCCTCTCCTTGTGCCCCTTCCTTATCTGCCACCCCTTTTCCATCACCTGGAATATGGCTAGGCCTTTACATGTGACATATGTGACATACCCATAGGATGCCCTTTAAGGCAGGAAAGGGGTCAGCTTCACCTCTGTGACCCCCCCCCTCCCCGTGCCAGGAGCAAGGCCTCCCACTGACTACACTAAATCAAAGCTTCCTGGATCTCTAGCTCATAATACCTGTGACATAGGGACTATTGCCACCCACCTGCCCCCTCCCAAATGAGGTAGATAGACTCAGTTGTCAGGTGAGCTGACTGAAGTCATCAGGCTGGTGAGTGGTGGCAGAGCCAGGATTCAAAACTGGGTCCAGCTATCTCCAAAGCCAAGCTCTCTCACCAGGTTCTGCCAATCTGGTAAAATGGTGTTGAGTGCAACAGAGATGTTGTTGTATAGGAGGAGGAGATACCATCATTTCCACCATGAGAAATCCCAACCCAATAGAATACTGTCCCTGCCCTTAGAGGCCTCCAAATGGATGAGGGGAAACATGATTCATGTCCCTGATGAGTGAGGCTTACAAAACACAAGCAAAAGTGACACACCATGTGTTCTAGTCTAGACTATTGGTTAGACCGAGAGACCATATATGGAGGTTCTCCATGGCTCCTGGTCCACTGCTCTTTGGACGCCCAGTCCAAATGAATGGGAGACTGCTGCCATTCAGCAAGAAACCAGACCACAAGTCCCTAGCACTGGCCCCCTAGGCATGCAAGTTTGCCATCCTGTCCTAGCTGGGAACAGAGACTTAACTCGTGGTATGCCATCAAAAGCCACTGGACCCAAATTTAGTTTTTGGGTTTCTTTTTTGAGCAGTTCTACATGTAAGGATTGGTATTTTATGATTATTACTCCTTCTTAATGGTATTCCAAAGAACAGTAAGAAAATGTACTTATTTTTTAAAAAATAGACTGAAACTCATTGTCTTACCATTACCATATGGATTTATTGGATTCCTTTACAAATCTGAAACATTTTGGTATCTTGATGAACTATATTTTTCCTGTATCTTGAAACACTTTGCTATTTCTTCCTACTAAAAATTATCTCGTATTACTCATCAATTATTCCCCAACTATGATAAACAAGACTAAGATAATAAGAAAATAGAATGATGGTATCGCCTAGAAGATTCAATAGTGGAATAAACCATCACTATTAGGTCATACTTCAATTTCTTTATTGCATTCAGACATCTGGAGACACTGAGAATTCAGGACTTTTCATTTTCCAACAATAATGACAAAAGAGAAGAAAACTGACAGAGGAGGACATTTCATACTTCGTAGACAAATCAAAAAATTCAGAGACCCAGCAGCACTCTAGTCTCTAAGGATGATGGTGAAATTAGTCATATAAGTAAAATCTTTTCCTAATTTTCTCATATTGGTGAGTGAACATTATTTCTAAAGACAAAAAATAAATGTGGTATTTTCATCCAGTTAAATCATTCAACAGGAAAGATTTCATTACACAGTATTTTGTGACAAAACCTGGACCATCCTATTTTGCTGAAAGTGATGTGACAATATTCTTTCATCTTTGTGGTGCCTATGCACCAAAATTTACTTGGTAGTTTTTAAGTGGAGACATGCTGAAGGCAGTTGTATACAAAGGTGACTAAAGGAAAACATGCAACAGAAATGTAAACTTCATTGCATTGGTAATTATAATGTTTATAAATCTAAAATGAAAATGTTTTATAATTATGGAGTAAAGAAAATGGCTCAACAAAATTATGAGCCACTAAAAATTTCAAAAATATTGCACGTTGACAATGCAAGTACAAAAACAAGACAAAACAACAGAAGCAATGATGAGCTAGAGCCTATTAGAGCCTATTAGAGATGCATGCGAAATCTGCAATCGGCAGTTACACAATGAGTGTTTCACATCTCATGCTTGGCAGCTGATGAGCAATCACGTTTCTATGCTTCTGGTTCTCCACAAGGGACAGTGTTTGTTTTGGGTATATGCCTTCAAGGCAAGGTAAGTATCGAAGTCTGCTGTGTTTTAATTCATATATACACATATACGCACACAAGTATTTTCATATATATGAATAACAGTTTTATTAAGATATAGTTCACATACCATAAAATTCACCTATTTGAAAGGCGCAATTCAGTAGTTTTTAGTTTATTCGAAGTTACGCTGTAAATACCTGTTAAAATTTATAATAAAATTGTTTTTCACTATCCCTTTATTCTTAGTTTTGTAATTTGTAAAATTACTTAAAACATAAAAGGGGGTGTCCACTGGCCCCAAACAGTGAATGGTGATGACTGTTTTTCCTTGTATGTTGAGGTAAGACCAGTGAGCAAAAGATCCATCTCTTTTGGCCCCTCTCTGGCAAGAAAGCAGCCCTGTTGCTGTGCCTACGCTTTCCCTTGCCCTTTGAAAAGTAAAAACATCCGTAATTCGAGGCCAGGGGAACTCTACCCTCTGTAGACAACTGAGGACTCAAAGGATTCAGCTCTTCTGGCTCACCACACGAAGGACGCAGGCTGGTCATGGGGCAGTCGATGGCCTGCCAGCGAGGGTGCGAGGGATCCATCACAGCAGTGCGCCCTGCTCCATGGACAAAGGCCCAGCCGCACCTGGCCAGGCCAAGCTGTTCCTACAACGCAGGACTGAAAAGCAGAGGCATGGTTCATTTCAATTTCGGAGCTAGTGGTGCTCATCTTATTTGTAAAACTAAGGGTTTGGCATCAGGTAAGTCGTTCCCAGCCTAGGGTCTCATGTTACTTGTTCTCAAATGGGAATAAGGGATCTTGAGATATTCTGAGTATTTCTCAAAGCCTAAGAAAAACCATACATTCCCCTAAGATATACTGCATGGGTTAAACAAACTCATTGTAAACTGGGTTAGTAATGGAATCTGTCCATTACGGGTAGGCTAAGAAGATTAAATGAGATGTTTATAGCAGGCTCAGGGCATGTAACAATTATCTGCTTTCTCACCATGGTCGTGCTGCTGATGTTATAAATGTAACTTTGATTAATAACAAAGAAATGTTTGGTAGATAAAATAATATCAAAATATGATGTCCCAGAGGAAGAAAATGTAAAGAAAACAATCTTTGAGGTTGAAAATGTTCACTTTCCATGATACGTAAATCCTGCTCTGATGTTGGCAGGCCCTGCTTTGAAATATAACAGCTGCATTTATACATAGCAACATTGGAGCCTAGAAACAATCACTAG